TTTTTAATAAACTTTAAAATTTTAAGTTTTACATTGAGCAAAAAAGCGTTCGGAGACTTTTGGCGGGGGTCTGTATATAAAGAATTCTTATGCATGCTTTATGTATCTCGATATGTAGAGGTTGGAACTGGCATAAAAATTTTTAACAGATTAAAATTAACTGGTATTAGCCGCAGATTATACTGCATTTCAAATGATTTTTGACTGTGCCAAATATTATGAAAATATTAAATATGTAATACATGTATCATTTGATTGACTTTATTATACATGTATCGAATAGTTCACTTTTTAATATAAATATTATATAGTTTACTTATATTATTTTTATTATATATACTTATCTAAAAGCATAGTATTATAATAGTTAACAATTTTATATAAATAGACCTGTGAGTTGACCTTGAGTTAACAGAATTTGATCAGATAGTTTTCTGAATAAGTCTTAGGACTAGACTTATAACTCTACAGTTTAATAAAGTTACTATTTTTACACTTTCAACCTTCTTCTTGTCTCCATCATAGGATCGACTGTGATAACCTAATACATAAATGAATCGTGATAATAAATTGTTTTATTTATTTATCGTTAATTTTTTTTAGGAAAGGCCATTAAGATAATTGTGATATTAAGTTTATTAGTTTTGTTAGCTTGGTTTGAGATGATTCCAGGCCTAACACCGGTTTCAACCTCCATCGATATGTCTTGAGATGAACCTTTTTACTTATTTTATTTTATTAAATTTAACCCCCATTATATTTGTCTTCATATTTTTTTTACCTAAACGAACTATATCACATTTGATGTGTGATTTCTTTACCCGGGCTAAGCTTGCTACCCTACGCGGTATTCATGAGAAAGGTTAAATTTTGAACTATGTCTGGCTAAGCGTAATCATTTACGTTTTTTAAGTGGTAGTTGCATATTAATATTCACTAAATTCTAATAATATATTTACGAAATGTTTCAATAAAACTTTTATTAACTCTCTAAAAATCGATTCGTTCAAAGTAGCTTCTTCTAATGTTACGTAAAATTCTGTCAATAAACGAATAAATATCAATGAAAATGTTCCCCATCTAGTTAAGAGTAGTTTAGATTAATTCGAGGTGCAAATGTAAAATCGCAATAAGTATGTATCAATCGGAAAATAAATATTTTTTATTTGCTGTAATCCTGGAGATTTCCAATTTTAATAATTATTTCCTTAAGTAACAACGAACGTAAAATCTATCAAAGTTAGTAAAATTCTCACGGCATGGTCAGAATTTCTTACATATTACGGTAATTTGCATTCTTGTAAAAACAAAATAAGAGATCAAATGTACCACAAGTACCCAAATGAATTTTATACGAATTTATTAACGAATTGTTGTTCATTACGACGTTATTGTTGCGGCCATATTTTCTATACTAAAAAGATATTTATTCCGAGGATGACATAATCAATCATTCCCCATAACAATACATTATATAAGTCAAAATACATAGTAAAAAAAAAACTTAGGTCATCAAAGGGCATTAAATATTACTATTAAAAAAAAATTTTTTGGCGTTCTACGCCATGACATTACGTCACGTCGCAATTACAATACATTACTTGATACGTCATTACTTTTATTACTCAATACTTTATGATTCTAATAAAATTTAAAAGTAATTAAGATGACTTCAGTATGATTTATCGTTTTATTGTACTTACATCGTATTGTATTATGCGCAGCAAATTTCAAATAATACAGGAAATATGCGATTATAATACAACATAGCGATAGTACTGTAAGTAATTCGATTATTGAATGTAGAAATTATCATCTATGCAAAAATATTGTAACTTGTAATCACGTCATTTGCTTTTATTCGAAAATAATAATATTCTTGACACAACCGCACAGAGAAATCTATCAACATTTGATGAAACAGGACAAGTCATAAAAGGTCGATTCTACTCAAAAATATAAAAGCAGGCTAATTGGACCAATTTGCAGTAAATAAAATCGAATAGCCTTTATAACTCAATACCAAACTATAAATATGCAAATAACTATTTTTCGATCCTAATTATTCAATTTTTGATAAAAGACACATTCCTGAACCTATCTCAAATAATACTATTGATGGAACAATTGAAGGTGATCAATTCTGGCCTAAATAGAATAAATCGCATAATAAGTTCAAGAAAATCATCAAAACATTAAATCCTTTAAACACAAAGTATTCTACAAAAAATGGAATCCGCCGCGACCAAGGAAATTATAACTTCTAAAATTATTTATTATACATCTTCCTCGGCTGATGATATTTCCGAATTTAATGAAACTGATGAAATTTTAGATATTTACTTATCTTTTCAAGAGAAATGTGCATCAATTTCGTCTAATTCTTCTACTATGGAGAATGATACTAATGTTGTATAGAAACTATTCTAAATGCAATACATTAAAAATATAAGAAAAAGTTTGAGAACGAAAAGAACTCCTATGTCTAACTTACCTTGCCTCGTAGTATTTCTTATTGTGATTGAACAAAAGATCAAGCGAAGATTTTGTCTTGTTCAAATAATATTAATATGGAGATTATGATCTTTTGACTGACAATTCCAATTACTCATATACTTGGTTTTTCTTACACGCAGTATATAGATAGAACTATTTTTAAATTGTAATTTGTTGCAAAGTAAATTATCAACGTCTCTCGTCCGATATTATATGCAATATTTTTTTTGTTCTTCACTAATAAATAAATTTTATTAATTCTTAAATGTTGGAAAATTAAAATCGGGTGATTTTCATCATTTACAAATGCATTTTTTGTAATTTTCGTTAATTTACTCCATTGTATTAGTTAGTTCATCATTTTCGTTCTTTTGAAGTATTTAGAATTTACCTCAATAAAAATAAATTCAATTGAGAATTTCAAAAGATTAGATTTTCGATTTAACTCCAATATCCAATTTTAAAAAGCTGTTAACTTATATGGTAAGACAAGAAGCGGTTAGATCCTTTTTAAGTTAACCGATTTAGATTATTTAAGGGAAATATACAGTTGGAAAAAATTTAAACCGAGGGCTGAGTTTTCTAATTGATAAATTCTATGCAAGAAAAAAAAAAATAAAAAAATAAAAAAAAATGGTTTTAAAGAACAATTTAGAAAAAAAATTAAAGGACTTGGAAAGGAACTAGAACAAAATAACGAAGGGTTCCATTCACAATTCAAATATTTAGAAGAAAAAGTTAGAGAGCGAGAAGGAGAAACAAAAGCTAATCTCAATAATTTAGAAAAAAAGATTAGTGAACGAGAAGAAGTATCCAAAGAAAAGCACGGAATTTTTAATGAATTAGAAAAGAGAATCAGTAATCTTGGATTAACGTTAATTATTTATGATGATACTATTGATAGTTTAACTATTACAGATATTAATAAGGATGACATATTGAACACCTTAGGAGGATTGCAAAGATATCGAAAAACGACAAATCTCTGTTGCTATAGAACTCAATTAACAAGCTTACCAACATTACCTAACTCCTTAACGGAACTCTATTGCTTTATAACTCAAATAACAAGCTTACCTATATTACCTATCTCTTTAACTTATCTCGATGCTCTTATACTCAAATAACAAGCTTACCAACATTACCTAACTCCTTAACAATACTCTGGTGTACTAACACTAAAATAACAAGCTTACCAAAATTACCTGACTCCTTAACGAAACTGTATTACTATGAAACTCAAATAACAAGCTTACCAACATTATCTAATTCTTTAACCGTGCTCTATTGCTCTAAAACTCAAATAAAAAGCTTACCAACATTGCCAAACTCCTTAAACGTGCTCTATTGCTCTGAAATTCAAATAACAAACTTACCAACATTACCAAACTCCTTAACTCGTCTTAACTGTAATTAAACTCAAATAACTAGCTTACCAAATAAACCCGATTCCTTAACGAAAATCTACCCTGAATATTAAAAAAATCAATAATCAAACAAATATTCTACCAACTTTAAATTTTAACACCTTTAACTAAAATTATCAATTGTTTTTCTTGATTAATAATAAAATTTGTTAAACAAGATTTAAATAAATGATTATATCGTAACATCATAAATAAATTCAAAACCAATTTTAATATTCAGTTGATATTTGATATTTAAAGTGTAAAAAAACTCAGCATTACAAATTTGTGACAATATAGCTTTCTTTAGATTTTACATGTTCGATTAATAGTATGAATGTTTTAAATCCACTTCAAATGTAAGTCTAATTATCCTGTTTTATAATTAATGAATTTTGATCCAGAGTATTACTCGCTAATATACCTTTTTAAAAAGAATATATAATATCAATGTCAGTTTATTAATTTTATAAAAATATAAATTACAAGCTATTTTATATACATTACTTTAAAGTATTTTATACTTCCAATTTCTTCATTTCAGGTTGAAATATTTATTAAATTTTTTACTTTTCATATTTTCATTAAATGATTATTTTTTATTTTTTATTATATATATATTATATTTTATTATTTTATATTTATTTTTGATTAAATGTTATTTAACGTCATAAAGCAAGGTACCCTCGCCGGTCAAAAGTATTGGACCACGTAATTATCATTACAATTGGCGTAATTCTATTGATCATAACTTTTGATGAAATGAATAAAAATGAGCCAAATTTTTTTTCTCACATAGTTACAAGCTTTTAATATTTGAATATAAAATATTTTTTAATGCCAAAAATCTAAGAATTTATTGAATTTGAATGAGGTGAAATAATTGGCCTCTGAAAAAGTGCCCACAGCGAATGAAATATTAATATATTCTTGTCCATTCTATCTCATTTTTTATTGTTTCAAAATGATGCTCATCATTGTATTTGGTATTGTCCTCATTATAATTATGATGTAAATTGTTTAATTTCCACATAAAATAAGGAAAATAAAACATAATGGTATAGTGGGTATTTTATGAAAAAATAAGATTGGATTTTTAATACAAGTTTCTAGTAAATTTATGAGTTTTTTTGTATATATTGAGATTTAAAAACAATCTTTTGCCTTTTATTGATAAGTTTGGAACTGATTTAGAGTATATTTTTAAGTTGTAAATGCAAAAGTTCATCAGGCTAAACAATTAAGCAATAGATAAAAATTATGGTAATTCAATCTCAAATATTTTATGATCTGCATAGCCAGCTGACTTAAATGCAATTGAATATCTATAGGATATTTTGAAAAGAAAGGTTTGTAAATATATTCTACATCCAAAAATTCTTGGAGAATTAATGATAGTTTTAAATGAAAAATAGAATGAAATTGAACCTGACATTTTAGAAAATTTAGTATAAAGTATGCTAAAAAGGGTTTAAGCTTTAATAGATAGCAATGGTTATTCAACTAAATATTAATTTTTTTATAAAAATTTGTTTTATGAATAAAATAAAAAAATTTTGTGTAAAATTACTTAATAAAATTTTTCATAATTAATAAATTAAAGTTGGCCATTAAATTTAAAAATTGCAATAATTTTAAAGTGGTTTAATACTTTTGACTGAAAGTGTATATATCATTATTTAATTTAAATTATGTGATAATTTATTATAGTAATTAAAGAAAGAATTAAATGCATCAATTTCAATTGTTTTACAGTTTTTGTATGAATGTCTAATCTTTTATGAATGCCACTATTTAATGTTTCCTCTGCATCATTATATCACATCTTATTATACCTTCCTTAATTTTTTCACAATTATCTATGAATTTTGCTTGAAAATCATCAGTACTAATTGAATAAATAATTAGATAATCAATCATTATAAGATCAAATTCTAAAATATTTTACAGTAGTTAAAAGTAAATATATATCATAATGAGCAGGTGTTGCCTAAATTTCCAAAATCTATAATCCCGAATGCTATAATCCTGAATGTCAAAATCCTGAATGCCAAAATTCCAACAGGTACAAAATTCTGACTAATATAAAATTCCAACACTTAATAATATCTTAAAAAGTAATAATTATACAATTTAATTTAATAAAGTATAAAATATTATTATTTATTTGTACGAAGTTAACAAATAATAAAGTTTTATTTAAATTTTGAATAATTTTTTTTATTAAATTTTGTAATACCTTTGCAAACAAATTGCATATTTCATTCATATTTTAATTAAAATATAAAAAAGGTAAAGTTATAATATTATTAATATAATATAATTATAATGATTCAATTAGCTAATGCCATGCAGCAATAATTTTTTGATGTCAGAATTTTATACTAGTCAGGATTTTGTACCTATCAGAATTTTGACATTCGGAATTATGGCAATCAGGATTATGGATTTCAGAATTTCATATACAATAAAATCAATAAAAAAAATTTTTTAAATTTATTCAAAAAAAAATTAATTATAACAAAATAAAGTAATAACTTTTAAATACTTTTATTTGGTATTTTTTTTTATAAAGTATAGTAATTTTGAAATATACATTTATATTGATACAATATTTAATAAATTGCACAAATAAATATTCAAAAAACAAAAAAAAATTGAGAATTAATATAGTTATGAAAAGCTATTTCTAAACGAATATTAAAAAAATCAAAATAATAATTTATATATAAGTAATTTCAGATAAATAGAACATATTTACTTTATGCATAGTAAGCAGTGTGCTTTAACCAAAGTGATCAATTTATCCTGTGAAGTTAAAAAAAAGTTCACGCTATTAATAAAGTTACAAAAACACATATTACAACATGAATATTAATCCAATCAAGATTAAATTTTATATGTAAATAGTATAGAATCTAATGAATAACTTTCACTTAGAGATAAAGGTGATTGATTTTGACCAAAAATGCTCAAATTATTCTGTAAAGTTAAAAAAAGGTTCACGTTATTAATAAATTTACAAAAACACATATTACAATACGAATATTAATCCAATTGAGATTAAATTTTATATGCAAATATTATTGCATCTGCTGAACAACTTTCATTTAGAGATAAAAGGTAATTAATTTACTTTGACCAATGTGCTCAAATTATCCTGTGAAATTAAAAAAAAGGTCTGCTCTATTAATAAAGTTACAAAAATATATATTACAATATGAATATTAATCCAATTAAGGTTAAATTTTATATACAAATAGTATTGAACCTGCTAAATAACTTTTACTAGAAGTGAAAGACGATTAACTTTTACCAAATACTCAAATTTCCTTGTGAATTCAAAAACTTGTAAATTATTTAGTAAAGTTACAAAAAAAATTATTTCTATACGAATATTAATTTAGTCAATATAAAACATTAGATATAAATAGTATCAAACCTGTTGAATAACTTTTACTTAGAGATAAAAGGTGATTGACTTTGATCAAAGTATTCAAATTTTATCATGAAATCTCTATATTAATATTAATAAAAAAAGATATAAAAATTAAAATTTATCAAAAAAAAGTACATTTAATAAGAGTTCTTACAAGTTCAAGTATTTAAGTAAAAAAATAATTTTTTTTAAAGATTATGTTAAATAAAATAAAAGTTTTTTTTATTAAAAAAAAAAAAGAAAATACATGAATAATATAATTGTAAATTATTTATTTATGTAATATAAAATAAAAATATATACTAACTAAAATTAGAAAGGACTAGATTTAAAATCAGTCTATACATTTTTTATATTAAAAAAAATATACATATTCTGGATAAATTCTATACATTTTCATTAACATTTTCTAAATATTTCTTTTTTATAGGGAATACATATTCTGGATATAAATTTTAATACATAATCCAGACATTTTCTGTATTAAAAAAATAGACAAATAATTTTAATACAAATTCTGAAAATATTCTGTATTAGAAAAAAAGATTAAATTTCTTTCTGTATATACTCCAGATGTTTCTAAATATTTGAATAAGTCTAAACAGTAGGCTTGATTATTTTTAGGTCAAATAATAATTATTTTTTGGACATTCTTTAATATATCTAGATAGATTTAGGACATTTTTGATGATATTTTCTGAATATTTATTTTTTATAAGGATTTGACTTTATACTTGTTCACATGAGATAGCGTTTCAAAATAATCACTAAAATCGTCTTCTGTGTCTATGTTCTATAAATTACACATTATGCTGAATTCTACATATATACATTCAGATATTTAACAGTATTTTCATTATCAACAGATTTGGATAAATAGTACACCTTATTAAATCAGAAATTTATCCCTTTCTTATCTTTGAGTTAATAGTTGAACCTTTTCAATTTTAGCCACCTTATTTTCTTTGACTAATCTCTCAAATAATGATTTATCTATCTGATAATTTTTCCAATGCTAAATTTATGCTAAAGTATAAGTAGCAATACGTGATCAAGTTAATTTGGATTTTTATTCAATATTAAATGTTTGGTTAAAGGGTTAACGCGCTAAATATATGAACTTTAAGTACTTTTCTAGCTTCTTTACAATTAATAATTCTGGGATCAATGGATTTATAATTTTGAAATTTGCTACTCCATTCGTAGTAATGCTAATAACAGCACTATTTAATATTTTTTGACAATATACTTCATCATAATCATGCAATTCATCATATACTTTTGTATACCTTTCTATAAGTTCTTGGTGAAAATTTGTATGCCAATTTATTTCAATTTTAAACATTTACCAAATTGGCTTCTAAAGTCATATTTGTTTTAGGTTCATTATAATATTTTATCCAATGAATTATTTTATAATCAATCTGAGACATATCACTATTAAATTTTGGTTTGCTTTCACCTTGATTGGAAATCTCTTCATTAATTAATGGACAAAAAGAATTATCATTTGAGATTTCTTTTGTTTTTACATCAAGTGGATTCAGCAGAGCTCATTTTTCATTTTAATTTGTAAATTTCTCAATTATATTCAGCTTTTACTTCAATCCACTCTGTTTCTCCTAAATTCAAGAATCCTAAATGTGCATCCGTTGTACTATTGAGAAAACTCACTTTCATCATTATTATAAAAATGCCCAATCAGGCAAACCAAAAGACACATGTAAAATGTTCATAAAACGCTTCTTCATTAATCATTGATAATCTTCTATATTAACCATTTCTGGATAAGCGTCAATAATTTCATAAACTTGATACTCAAATTCCCTTAATGATTGACGTACTTCATAACTTTTCACGTGGTTCTATGTTAAGCTTTTCAATTCTTTTAGATCTTGTACGAGTACATAATCTAACTATATTGTTTATATTTGCATCTAGTAAAGGCTATAAAGACAAAAAAATAAAATGTACCTCTAAACGTCATGATTAGTAAAGAAAATGGTAAGAATAAGATCAATTTCTTTTCGATTTACTTTTGATAACTTTAATAATACTTTATAATCTCAACGCCAACAAATGTACCGGGAGGGCCTTCGAATAATCAATTTCATGCGTTAGAACAGTGATTAATGCTTCGCTAAAATACAAAATTCAAAGATATTAAATTAATAATTTTGTAATCAAATGTTGAATGAAAAGCCTTCTTGCTTTCTACACAATACATTCACAAATGTGTTAATTGGAAATGATAATGAATCTGAATACATATCGTAAGAGTTGCATTAAAGTCCAATGTTAAATAATACATCAAACTTTGTAGACTTAACATTAAATTAAGAAACAGTGATATAGAACTTGCCTTGTTATAACATGGTATATATTAAGGTTGCGGGGTAAAACCCTAAATCAAATTTGACAAAAGTCGAAACTTTATGAAGATAATTTCGACAGTTTCGATGGATTTTGACGTATTTCGATAATTTCTGACGATTTGCAACAAAATTAGCAAAATTTGACTGTTTTTAACTGGTTTGGATAGTAATGCAATATAAACGAATCTTTTTTTGCTTATTTTTTATTCGAAGATGGAGATTCAAATTGAAAAGGCTTTAGTGAAATACTAGGGCGGTAAGTACTGCACGATTTGTTGTATTCTAACAAAAAGATTAAATTTAAATTTGGATGAATATACTGCTAAATAAAACGAGATTTCAGAATAATACATTATTTATGGAACACGAAAATAATAATCAGGAAATTTGGTGATATAGTTGGAATTAATGAAGAACTTAATTTAGATTACATTTTTATAAATATAAAGATATATTTCTAATAATAATTAATAAGTATTGTTTTTTCGAGCATAAAGCATGCTTATTAGTATTTATATATTTACTTTTATATGGGAGGTTTGCTATTAAAATCGAGTTTACGAACATAGTAAATCATCTGACCCGTAACGTGAATATTAACGATTTACTTATTCATGAGAACTTCATTTACATCCATTGATGGTTGGAGATTAATGACTTGTTCTTGTCTATTATTAAGATGATGGAGTATACTATTCGGTTAGAGTTTCCGTTTGAAATACAAATTTCATATCAAATATTTGAAAGTTTTTCAAAATTAATTTCAAATATCGAAAATCATTTCGAAAAAGGATATATAAAAAAAAAATAAAAAGAAAAAATTATAAAAAAATAAATAAATTAAATGAAAAAAAATATATCGAAAGAACCAAAATAAAAAAAAAAGAATGAAAGACGAAAAAAATAAAAATCGATCGATAAGATCGATCGAATTGACGATATTCAAAATCCGAATCATTTCGATATCCGTAATCATTTCGATATATATTTTCGAATATTTGAATTTTATTTATTTACAAACGAATATTCGAATATACTATTTTCAAACGGAAACCTTATATTCGGTTGATTAATGGTAACATAGTTGTTGATGATGTGATGGATATTAATATGGGAAGTAAGCTAGTTACGGATCATATGATTTACTATGTTCATAACTCCATTTTAATAGCAAACCTCCCATATGTTTAATTATTTATTAGAGATTAAGAAGTGCTATAGTGTAATTAGTATGACATGAAATTATAATTCATGATTGTAAACCAAATAAATCTTCTTTAAATTTTCTTTTTTATTTAATTAAATAAAGAATGAAATTTAGACACTTTCTTAATTAAGAAAAATTAGATCAATAATTTTAATTCGTATTACAGATGAGAATTAAATTTAAATCTTGTAAATCGAACCGAGTTCATTTTGGTGATGATGATGAAAAGCAAATTCATATGAAATTATTTCGCAGTAAGTAAGAAAAATCGGACAAAAGAAAAAGATATATGGCAAATACAGGAGTTTCCAATAGTTGAATTTTGAAGGTACAGTACGTAACTCTAGAATCAGCGGAACTTTATTCCATGATGTCTACTAAACGCATTCAATTAATGTATCCATTTCATATTTATTATGAATAATTTATATCTAAAGCTTTAAGGTCGTTAAATTATAAATTCAATATAAATAGGCGCTTTTAATAAAATAATGTAATAAATCCCATTTTGACAATGGTTCATCTGTTTTGGATCTGTTGAACAAAACGACCACATGATTTAAACTCAACTGGTTCTTACTACATCATCACAAGTACATAAATAATTTTCTTTACCCATCTATCTAAATGCAGCTCTTAAAGAACTAGGGATGTTAAAAATCCAGTCCGGTCCTAGTCCGGTCCCGAAACTCCCAGTCCTAAAGAAGACCTGGTCCATAGATAGGACTTGGGTCCTAGGATCGCAAGTCCTAATTTCTATAGGACCGCAGTCCTATAGTTCAAAGGACTTTGAACTGGACTGGACTTCGTAGGATTGTTTAGGACCTAGTCCCATGGGATTTTTAACATCCCTATAAAGAACACATCAAAAAAATTAACTTTGCAAACATTATAATCAAAATATTTTTTTTAAAAAAAAAAATTGTATAGAACGAAAATGAAAAAAGATTCAAATAAAGAAAAAATTTTAACAAACCTGTTTTTCTGAATCTAAATGGCCCAAATGATTCAATTGATTCAGAATGGCAATCATTAATATCCTAATAAGTACACCCATTTCTAGGTACAAGGAACTGGCCAAAGCCACATCCATTTTTTATTTCCCTAATACAGTTACATTTTTGTCACGTCGCGAATTTCTTGTCTATTATAAAATTTATGCAAAGAGCTAAGAAATATCGTATATGTTTAAAACGAAATTCTAAAGAAAGAACTCGAAAGTATATTTCGTGTGTAATTAATATATTCAATTCTCACGAATCTGATGTGTTGTGTTTTTTTAAAATTTAACGTTGTTCATTACATCTTCAACTATCCTGCCTTTTTAGGATATAGGAGATTTTTGTTTAGTTAAGAAAGTCACGTGTATAACATGTGCTCTCATTAATTTTAACGATCTTGGCATATTCTATTTTTAGTGTGATCATTTTGTTTTATTTTTTTTTTTTATATCGTAAAGAAACTATTTTTGAGGTATTAAAAAAATTTACAATTAATGACATAAAGTGGATCTTAATAATTTCAAATTACTTCAAATCATTGTCAGAAAAATTATTTTATTATTGATATGCCAAAGTCAATATTTGCTGCGGAATGGATTTCTCGTGACTCGGAATTGATATAAATTATTCATGTATTGTTTGCGATCGGCAAACATTTACCTATTCTTTTTTCTTTTTTTTTTTTTTTTTGTAAAAGACCATGGAGGGAAGCTTTTTGCCAGATTTATCTTATGATATTGGAAAACTCCTTTCAAATGGAGAAAATTATGATGTAATTATTCAAGCTGGAAAAGGCAAAAATATGAAAGAATTTTTCGCACACTCATTAATTTTAGGGGCGAGGTCAACATATTTTAAAGCTGCATTTTCAAAAGAATGGGCGAAAAAGGCAAATGGAATTCTTACCTTTAAAAAGTCAAATATTTCTCCGGAAATCTTTGAGTTAATTTTAAAGTTCCTTTATACAGGAATTGTTAATTTAGATAATCTAAAAGGGACACTAGCGGTAAAACTTTTAATCGCAACCGACGAATTGAATCTTCAAAAATTAAGAGATTTTATTCAAACTTATATTATCAATAATCAAGCTGAATATTTAAGAAATGATCCAGTCGAAATTTTTCAAATTATTTTTCAGTATGAAGGTTTAGAAGACCTAAGAAATTCTTGTTTAGAAAATATCCGTAAAAATCCTGAAGCTCATTTTAAATCTCCGAAATTTTTATCGCTAGGAAAAGATCCTATTATTTGCCTTTTGAAGCAAAATGTACTTGAAATGGATGAAATTGAAATTTGGAATTATATTCTTAGATGGGGTATTTCAAAATTATCCACGCCATTAGATATCGATAATGTATCTCGTTGGACATCAAGTGATTATGATGAGCTGGAAAATATTCTTCACGACATGATTCCACATATCAGATGGTTTCAAATCCCCTCAAAAGCTTTTTGGAGAAAAGTTAGTCCATTTGAACAAATCTTTCCTAAACAATTATATAGAGATATAATTGGATTTCATTTTGATCCTGATACCCCAACAAGTACCTTAGTTTTACCTCAGAGATGCAACTTGTCTATTGATTCTGTCCTTATTGATTACAATCACTTCTTAGTAATTGCAAGTTGGATTGATAAAAAAGATAAGTCCTTTTATAATTCTGTATATATTCCTTATTCACTTAAACTTCTTTATCGTGCTAGTCGAGATGGATTTGATGCAAAAAAATTTCATGAGTTATGTGATAACAAAGGTTCAACTATCATGATTTCAAAATTGCAAGAAGATGCTAAATTAATTGGTGGGTACAATCCATTAAATTGGAATCCTTATGATGGCATTAGTAATGATAATGGTGGTAAGTGGGGATTTACATCAGACAGTTTTTTATTTGCTTTTACAAGTAAAGAAGATGTTAATTCAGGGTACATCGCAAGAGTTTCAAATAATATTGAACAGCAAAAATTTGCTTTATATTATCTTTCAAACGTTGGACCTGCTTTTGGTCGTGGAACCGATTTATGTATTTTAAATGATAGGTTATATAACTTTGGTTGTAATTCTTATCCTGAAGTTAATATTATTTTCGATTGTTCAAATGATGGAAAACTGATTGTAGATTATGAAGTATTTCTGGTAACAAAAAATGAAACATCACAAATTAATAATTTTACTAACTTAATAGATATATAATTAGTAGATTTTAAAGTAAATATTCTAAAATTTATAAATTTACAATAAATTGAATTATTTCGTTTTGTAACTATTTAAACTAGAGATTGGGATGTTATAGAAAATAAAGAAATTTATTTGAAATTAAGGAGGATATTGAGGTTTTATATTAAAAAACTTCATCAAATTAATAGATATTACAGATCTTTGAAAATGGGATGTAAACAATTAAAAAATTTGTTAATCTTGTAGTCAAAATTAGGATGAGAGAACAATTCAAGTAATCAAAAGTATATATGATACTGTACATTAATAATTAAACTTTAGTCAAATTTTTTTATGCGAAAAATTGATCTATATAAATAAAATTATAAAAAATAACAAAGTTATCAAAAGTTTTCTCAAGTATTATTTATTTCATTATTCTTGCTCTTTATGGGATTCATTCTTAAATACTTTTTATTTTTTTGTAAATTATTTGCAAATCTTTTAATATATTTGTTTAAAGAAAAATAAATTTGAAAAAATAATAGGTCCTTAAATTTGAAATGTTAAAGTTTAAATAAAAAGGTGAAAAATTAAACATAATATTATCTCTTAAACCATTTATTTATAAACTTGCTTTCTTTAACAATGAGTTCATCAATTTAAAATTAGTTGAGTTTAAAATTACATTTGAATCTCCTAATATTATATCGATCCAATAAGTATAAAAAAATCGAAAATTAATAAAAAATATGTAATATGACAAACTCTATAGTTGTTAATATAGTTTGATTTAGTTCATATCATATCTAGTAAAAAGTGATGTATTAATTATTGAGTATTAAGTATATATATATTATTAAAATTATTATTAAATTTATGCAAAATCTGAGAAATTAAAATTTACAAAAAATAAATATATAAGAATAATCATCTTATAAAATTTTTTGCTTCTTAACCATTAACATTACAATAAAAAAAATTATTTCAAAAGCATGTATATGAATAATCCTAAATAGCAAATTGCATATTAGGAAAATGTTAACATAAAAAGGTTATTTGATTTTATACTAAATATCTAACAATAAATAAAGAAATTATCAAGATCTTAAAGAAACTTTAAGATTACAATTTCAATTTCTCATAACAAGTAAAGGTATTCCTTTCACTATTTTACAATTATTGAAAATAAAATAAATAAAGATATTAAAATTTTCTTAATATTCTGTAGATTGATTTTCTTTACTAAAGTTATAATCAAATTAGATAATTAGTTAACTACATCATATCTTATAATAGAACTTAAATTTTGATTATTTATTTTAAGTAAAAACATTTATATATACAGTATATAAGTAGATTAAAGGATATGAACTTCATACATTATTACTGCGATATTGTATCATATAAAACAAATTCTCATTTTAAATTTCTGAAATTATTGGCAATATAAATATTATTAAGTTCATTCATAGAATATACTATTCAAGTAAATAACATATTATGTAAATGAATATAAATACTTTTAATACATTCAACTTATTGAATTAATTTAATTATCAAACAGATATTCAAAGCATTATAATCAATTTTTAGTTCAAATGATTGATTAAAATTTTGAAATCAGTATTATAAAAGTATTTTCTATTTTCTCCAATTAATTTGATTATCAGTGTATTTATTAATTTTTCATTATAGACTTTAAATAAATATTCCTATATAATACAAATTTAGACACATATTCAGTAAAAAATCAGCAAAATATCATAATCTATCTCTTTAATTATTTGCTTCCTCAAAATCTAATTAAATACCCTTCTATCTAAGTTCAGAATAATAAAATTTAATAAATAAATGAATGATATTTGTGTAATCTTTTTATTAAATAATTGTATAATTTTTATAATTCTATATAAAAATTCAATTTGTAGATCTGCTATAATTTATATATAATAATACATTATTCAATATATTTAAAGTGAAAATTATTTTTTTTTTTACACAAATATAGAAATTTTCAATTATCATTTCAAAAAGGAAGGAATTAAACAATTTTATCTCATTTTTACATATTAAATTCAAAATCCACTTCTTGATAATACTTAGAGATAATAATTTATTCAAATAAAATACTCAGATCATCAATATCTAATTGCTTTTTTGGCATAACCCACCTATTATATATATTTGATTATAAAATATTTATAATCAAAATATTATCTTATCTGAAAAGATATTATAGAAAAGTGATTTTATATTATATATTCAATTTATAATAAAAAAATTTATCGAGATTATTTAGAATAACTGGTTATTTATGGATTATATATATAAGCTATATATACATAAGCTTATGTGATTTTTATATTAATTCTAAATAACCTAAGTAATCTGTAACAAAGTTTGAAATAATAAGCTTATTTTATTATATATTAAGTATACATTGATAGATTTTTTGTCTATATACATTTCTTTTTTTCTAAAAATATTTTAGGTTTATTACATGTCTAAAGAAGTCAAATGATGTAAATTATGAAATAGAATTTATGCATAATTATTATAAATAAAGAGTCAATTAAACCTTGCAAAAATGTCATATATATAAATAAAAAGAAAATTAATTAATACAAAATTTATATTATATTCTTCAGTTTTAATTTATATTATAAGCTAAGAAATGACAAAGTATTTCTAATTTTACACGAAAATAAGAAAATCCAAGTTTGAATATATGTATATAAATAAAATATCTTAATATCATTCTAAACATAATTAAAGATGTAATTTCATTACTAGTAAATTAAATACATATTTTAAAAAAACATAATAAATATGTATTTCTTAATTATTATATTAATATAATAATTTATATCATATTATAAATCAATAGAGTAATTAATAAAAATTCCATCAGTATTTATATAATACTAATGG